TTACTAGTTGAATTGAAAGAAAATTATAGTTTCCAAGATGAGAAAATAAGAATTAAATTAAGTATTTATGATTGGCTTGTCTGACAGCGTTGTCCGGTACCATCACGACTCTTAGTGGATTTTGGGTCGTGACATAGCATGAATTCCCTGGTGAGAAGTACTGATTTGGTTGACAGTGACTAGATGGTCAAACCACAGAATATTAATTCCCTCTGCATACCCTATGGTGGGTACTTGAAGCATGTCAGAGAAATAAAATTCATCACGGAGGGATGTATGATCTGCCATCTTTGTTTCGAGGAGGGCAACCATACAAGGGTTATGAGTGTTGATGAGGTCTCTGAAATTTCTTTTGAAATCCTCATTATTTGCACCACGAATGTTCCACACAACTAGGCTTAAGGGTCTATTCATTGGGAGATATTGTTGTTGGGTGGTGTGATCCTTATCCCCGCTTGCAAGAATGGAGGAAAATTTCTGAAGGATGGACTGAGTACTACTGCAAATTTTCTGTTGCCTTGAGTAGGGAAGGGTGAATGTCGATGGAGCATTTGAAGAGAGCCACTGGACATTTGAAGATGTATTTCTTGTCCTCCGTCTCTTGGAATAACATGAGAGATGCTTCTCTGATGCTTGAAATTTATGTGAACGATCCCCTGGTTTGTGGGATTATGACTTTATCTACCATCTCTTCTGCTATCTCGTGTTCCTCTTGTTCTTGAACGTTGTGAGGGTATTGATGGTGGATGTCTAGTGGTATTGGGTGATGTTAGGGAATTGTTGCCATGGATAGAAAATGGGTTGGTTCGTTACTAGGTTTCATTGGGTGAAGAATGGTAGTTGGTAGAGTAGTTCTATATTGTTGAGAGGGTTGAAGTGTTGGTGTAAGTTCCAGTGTGCTTGCATGTTGTGGAAAAGTGCCGGAGCTAAGGCCGAGGCTAGTGGGTCTAGGACATTCGCTAGCCACATATGGTTGATGTAGTTCCACATGGCTAGTGACAACCCCTCCGATATGAGTTCCGCAAGAAATAGTGGTTTTGAAGGACAACCCAAACCTCATGTTCGTTGATGATCATCGGAAAGAAGGCATCATGTCCCTGTAGTCCTTGTTCTATCTAGGTTATAGGGTCCTGGTTGGGGGGAGTGGAGATGATACAAAAGTAGGGGGTGTAGAGGGATTTGCGGTGGGAAGGGGTAAAAATTTTCCATCGGAGTCTTTTCGAGAATACACTGTTTCTTCTTTAGTGAGGATTTTTGAAGAATCAGTGTTTAGAATAGGGGAGGGGGATGTTGCGGAAGCCAAATGTATATAGTGTGAATAAGTCACAACTACTATACCAAAAATTATGACAGCCACCAAATAATAAATAAGACAATAAAGCAACAATAAAAGGAACACCAGAATTTACGAGGTTCGACTAATTTTGCCTACTCCTCGGACACAACCAATATTTTATTCTACTCCGAAAATACAAGTAAAATAATACTAAAGAGAGAAGATACAAATGTCTTAAACAGATGAGAAGGCAAATGAGATGTGTGTTTAAATCCTAAATATTAAGCCTTCTTTTATAGGGGAAAAATCCCCCCAACTCTTCTTTTCCCACCGATGTGGGACAAAAATATTTGCCAAACTTAACAAGGGATATATACATAGCAGTTGAGTGTTCAATTGTATCAAATGATTGCAAATCTTTGCAAGTAGACTTTTCATGCATGGGATCGGGGGAGCCTTGGAGAGGTTGAATTGCCGTGATTGGGTTATCGGGCAAATTTGACACATGACCAATGGAATTTGCCATTTGTTTGGCAGAGTTACGAGCGACAGTAGATGTTGCAATTTCTTTAGGGTAGGTAATATGTTCGTGCTTAGTTTTCATTGAGTGGGTTAGTGATTTAGGGCTTGGAGTGGTGCATTCTAGAGCGTTACCACGTGTTATGTTTTTATTGGCTTGGCTTGTTGGGGAGTGGAACAACTTTGGAGTTATCGAAGGTTTTTGGGGGTAAGAATGTTTGTCTCTGTCATCCGCCATTTGGGTGTGAGAGTTGAGGGATTTGGGCTCATAGTCCATTAAATTAGAAAATTTATTATTTGTGGGGATAAAGGTAGTTTTCTCCAGCTTTTTGGGGACTTGAATATTTTTTAAGGAGGCAGTAATTGATTTTAGGTTAGAATTTGTATTTTCTGGGGGATTTGAGTATACATAATTTTTTTTCTTTGTAGTAAAGATTTTGAGTAGTTAGGTACTTACCTGAGGCCACTACATATATCTTAACCTTAATACTGTTACCTGGTTTTGGGGTGACGATTGCAGGGTGAGTTGTTTAATTTTACGTTGAATTCTTCCTGCCTTGATTTCTTCATTTATAGAAGTTCACAGTTTGGCATTGACACTCTGATGACTGTTGGGTTCGACTTGAATCCTCGACGTGTTCTTGTGTAGTTTGTGAAGTATTTAGATCTTGTTGGCAAGATTGATATGTATGTCCCAAGTAACCACACTTCTAGTAGAGAAAATTGCTTTCTTCATATGCTAATAGTTGTAGATGTGAGCCTATTAAGATGCATGGTAGAACCGGTTTGTTCATGGGAAGTTCGATACATAATCTCGCATATCTGCCACGAAGGGTAGCACTAGTACAAGCATCGATATCGACCAATTTTCCAATGGAATTTCCTATCTTTTTTTAGTATTAAACTATCATAGAATTCCGTAGGAAGTTGTGGTAGGCGCACCCACACTACTGTATGCACTTGCTTTGCCTTTTTCGCCACAAAATTCGGCTCCCACTGACGAACAGATAAGAAGTAGCCATTGATGAATCATGGGCCGTTTTGTAGAGCTTTCATCATAGTTTCTTCTTTAGTGAATTTTATGATAAAATAATCATGACCCAAATCAATTAATGGAAAAGGTTATGTGGGCTTCCATAGCTGGGAGATTTTGTCTTTTAAGTAATGGTGCATGATTCTTTTCTCTATCAATTTGATGATAAGAGAATATTTTCATGAAGTGTGCATCTGATTCCGATCTTCTTCAATGAGATTGATTTCTTTGATATGTTTGGTGATGTAATTGACTGGGTCTGTGGCATCCTCTTCCATGGTGTCCATGGCTGATTTAGTTCATGCAGGTAGGGGGGGGGGGTATGGGAGTATCTAGATACATTAGATTAGGATCAACCATTGATTCATAGGCTAGAAGTTTCTCTTTAAATGAGGGTATTTTTTTTTTGTTTTTACCTTCGTGTTTTCTACAATGGTACTATCTGGTGGCTTTGGAGGAATTGGTAGATCGAAATTTGTATCTGGGATTTGGAACATGATTGAATTATCCGGTGACTGTTTGGTGGATTTTCCGGCAACAATCAACAGCTCTAATAATGAAGGATCACAAGTTTTTTTGTAGTATAGTCTGAACAATAATGACTATAGAAACAGGTAGAGCATTAACCTAATAGTTTAACAACTTGTTTGGATGGTTGTTACCTATTGTATCGTACCGTATTGTTACTTTAAATATAATATTTGTTTTGATTGTTATTTAAATTTTATTGTATTGTATCATTAAATCTGTCGTTACGTAATGATGAAATGTGTTACTTTATGTAACGACCGATTTGGTGTGGTTGCGTCGTTTCCTTGTCTTTTTCTCTCAATCTCACCCTTCATTATTATTAAGTAATTTTATTTTATCACTTACCCTACCTTTTTATATACCGTATCATTTTTTCTAATAATAATATAGCAAATTTATTCATCATATTACTGATGCGTGATACCATGAAACGACGACAAAACGTCACAATCCATCCAAATATTGTATTTATCAAACGATACAGTACATTACAATACAATACGATACGATACATTATGAAACGATATGTAACAACCATCCAAACAAGCTGTAACTAGCATGTCATATTACTCGATAATCTTGGGATCTTAGTATTAAAATATTATGTGATTGTCCTGGAAGGAACAAAAGATGAAAAATATAACATATTTATTTTATACGACTTTTGTGATGTGATGCTCTAACAGAAATTTTATATGCACAATTAGGCTATTTGAATTAAATTTTAAGTATTAACTATTTAATATTATATTGCATATTCCAGAACATAAGGATTAATATAGCAATATAGAATTCTAATTTATTACAATTCTATTTAACTTTAATACATGCAATGCTCATTTCAATTTTTATAATATAAAATTATAATATTTTGTTATTTAGAACAAGAGTTGTCAAAATTTATTATTGGTATGACTCAAACACCACGATTATTAAAAATAATAATTTTATAATATAAAGAAGATATTATTATATGTCTATGATTTATACAAGGGTATACAATTTGTTACAAAATTTCAAATATTCATGGTGGATTGTGCCTTTTATTATCATAGTAAATAAAAATAATAAAACAATAATTGAAAAATGAAAAGAGAAAATATAGAGCCCGTTTGGATGAACTTGTTTTAAGTGACTTTTAAGTCAAAATAACTTTAAGCCGTAAGTTAGGAATTTTAACTTTTTGTTTTTGGCTTGTTTTTGTTATTTTAACTTAAAAACAAATGATTAAAAATATTTTTTTACTTTATCTAAACACTACAAAATACCTTAAAAGCTATTTTAGCTTAAAAGCACTTAAAACAAACCAATCCAAACGGACTCATAATGTCACTGCTTATTAACATTTGAATAATAGTCCCGAAGGGACGGCCCAGTTGGGTTTGGAGGAAGTTGTCCACACGGGCAACACGTGTTTGATTCCCCCCTTAATGCCCTCTGGGTCTGAGCCTGTCGCACGGTGTTTGCCTAGTGCGGTTTACATCCCCTGTATGGTTTGCAGGGTTATTAACACAGTGAGAGTTTACCCAGTACGCACAACCGAGGCTGTAGCGGTTGTGGGTTTTATGAGGTCCAAAAAAAAACATTTGAATAATATGAATTTGAACTATTTATAGACGTGTCCTGTCTCCTGTAATCCTGTACAAAACAGTTTAAGGATCCGACTTCTCTTTTTGGGTCGCTCCGCTTTGATCCCTGACCCGCAGCTTCAAGATTCGCCTAAGCCCCGCTACAGCTGATCTTCGTTCCCCTTGGCCGCTCCCCGCTCTCTCCCGCCTTAGAATGACGACTGACATGGACCCTCCGCCGTCTCGGAACCCTAACACCGCTACCGCCACCGCTATGGAAACTCCTGGTTCAAACCAAGACGTTCTTTCGACTTCAAGCTCAACTCAGACTTCAATGAAACCTCCACCTCCGAAATTTCTAAGCAATTCAGACCCAAATTCGTCGCAAGAGAAGTCCCAATCGGACACCCCTGTTATTCCTCAAAGCTCTACAGAACCTTCTGGAAGTGGCGATGACTCCAGCTCGAGCTCTGTTTCCTCCCAAAGTAGTAAAAACATCAAGGAAGACCAGAAGCAAGAGCAACGATCCGGTGCTGCTGCAGTTCCCTACACCATTCCCACGTGGAGTGGGCGTCCCTGTCATCAGTTTTACCTGGAAGTGCTTAAAGATGGCTCCATCATTGATCAATATGACGTGTAAGTTTCCGCAAACTTCAATGCAATTGATTTTTGGCTCATCATAAGCTTTTTTCTTCTCTTATGCTTTTTCTTTAAGTCCATTCTTGTTACGTTATCAAATTGATTGGTGGACAGAGTTTTCCGGTACCTGTGGGGGGAGGTAGCAGGTACCACGTTATTCCCCCCCAAAAAAATCTAGGAATAAATTGAATCTTTTGCTAGATACTTATTTAGAAAAACTGAATCTCTTGCCAGAAACTACTTGAAGTGGTTATGGAGTTTCTAATCAAGTGCTATTTTATTTTTGTTAGTTGCTTATAATAAAACTATTAAATTTAATAGTTAGAACATTCTGTACGTATTTCTGCAGCTCTCTTACTATTCGTGCCTCTCTTACGGAAAGGATGGTTCATTTGCGTTGTCTGTGAAATTCTGTTAGGCTTCACTATTTTTATTAGTTGCTAGGCTTTTATTTTCTTTAAGGGTATTGTATCACCTTTTACTGTTATTACAGGCACAAGAAGGGGGCTTACATGTTTGGTCGTGTTGATCTTTGCGACTTTGTCCTTGAACACCCGACCATCTCTCGCTTCCATGCTGGTATTCATTCTTCACTTCTACCACTGCTATATAAACGACTCTGTTTGCAGTTTTTGTAACTTTCTTTTTAAGATCTATCATTAGCATTCATCCTGTAACACATTCTCTTTGCAGTTTTGCAGTTCAAGGGAAGTGGCAATGCTTATCTTTATGACCTTGGCAGTACACATGGGACATTCATTAACAAAAATCAGGTACTTTAGCGTATCTTTGTATACCTTTATATTATTCCATTTAACTCGCAATATATTACAGCTAAGGAGGTTCAGATGAATAAAGAATCTTTTATAAGAAAAAAAATCAATTAAATAATTGGATGCATTCAGCTTATGCTTCAGGGATTCATTTGGTTCTATGTGCGGCTCTAGTTTTTAATCAATTGAAGCACTTCTCAAACTCCTTTTTAATCCACTACTAGTGCCGTGTAATAAAAACAGAAAGCGAGGAGAAATTTGTGCGCTGACTTGGTGCTTCATTGGAAAATGAAATTGCCCATAATTGATATCTATTCAATTATTATTTGTTCAGCAATTAAATGTTACGGCCAAGATTCTTATTTCCACTTCCATTGTTTATTATGGAGTGATTTCATCTTTTTGAATCAGTAAAGAACATATTCTAATGGCTTGCCCGTTTGCATATTACTAGGTGGAGAAGAGAATTTATATGGAGCTGCATGTTGGTGACGTCCTTCGATTTGGACTGTAAGTCATGACTCCGACTTGTTTACTCCCCTGAAAAGCAAAATGGCATCCTCGTTGAATCCAACAAAAAGAATCTTGTCGAATCCTTGTGCAATATTCGCTTAGAACGTAGATCTTTTCTTCTTTTATTATTAAAATCAGTGTTCAGTAGAATTTTCTGCTCTTCTCCTAGTATTGGGTTTTTTATGTTTTCCATATAGTCAAGGTTACTTTTAAAGGTCTTTGCTTTGTTTTAACTTCTTAATTGGAAGAAAGAGTTTTCTTACTAATGGTGTTATAATGTTTTGGCATCATTCTGATGTTCTTCACTTTTTTACAGCTCGTCACGGTTATATATATTCCAAGGACCAACTGACCTGATGCCACCGGTATGACAGTTCTGCTACTGCATCTCCTTTCTCGTGCTTTATTTTCTCTTTATTTCTTTAAGCATTTTATACCATTACTCCTGCTTGTCTTGCTTGTGCAATGTAGTCTTTCTTGTCAAGAACTTCTATGGGAATTGATCAATGAAACAAATGATATGTACTTAACAAATCAAGGTCAAAAATTAAAGAAAAAGAGCACTTCCATTAGAATTAACGACCTGTTCCAAAAGCATTACTTCGTTTTTGTATTGAAGGAAGCTGACCTGAAGAGGATAAAACAATCTAAGATCCGGGAAGACGTGCAAGACATGGAAGCATCACTTCTCCGTGCAAAACTGGAAGCATCTCGTGCAGACGGGATCTCATGGGGAATGGGTGAAGATGCTATTGAGGAGAACGAGGTCAGTTTGTTTGTTTCATTTTCCTTTAGGGTATTTGGGGAATGGTAGATTACATTTTAGATAACAGTTATGAGTGGTTTTGCTCTTGGCCTTATTACGGATAGATTTCTTGGAGATGTTGACCGCATAGCAAGGTATACACATAACGATGTTCTCTCTTTGACTTCTCTCTTTTTTCTGAGATTTTCCTCTCTAGGTGGGGTTGGACAAGTGCTAGGCAGAGGTGCAGAGCCCAATTCCTAAACAGTCATTCTTTTTTCTTATAAAAAATTGATCATGTATCAAAAATATTCAGCAACACCTTTGACAATGTAAAGATACATAGTCAACTCATTGATAAGTAATACTCTCAAGGAATGGGAGTCACTGGGTTGTGCAATTAGCTGACTGCTTTGGTTGCTTTCACCTCTTATAGATGAAATATACTCTTTGTCCGGGCGTTGGTCCCTTGCACACTGCACAGTTTTCCTGCTATTATTCATTTTTTGAATTCTTATAGCATGCGTGCTAATCAAAATTGATTTTGATGCTAGGATGAAGTTGACGAAATAACTTGGCAAACTTACAAGGGACAACTTACAGAGAAGCAGGAAAAAACACGTGAAAAAGTTGTGAAAAGACTTGAGAAGGTAGCAATTTACTTTAAGTTCTCTATGTTACTATTTCTTTCATGTACTAGTGCATTTATATTAGCTATTGTAGATCGAGGGAGCTATATTCATAATAGAGGTTGACTGGCAGTATCATCTGGTCTTAATAGTCTGCTTAATCAGTTTTTCCTTTTATCAGTAAAAGTAATTTTGTTCAGCAAAACTGCACTATGAAGGCTGTTTGCTGTCTCTTTGTGTCTGTTCATATTCAAATAATGGTTATTACACCCCCCA